AAAATGTCCATAAGCCATACAAAAAATAAATAAAGTATGGTATTTTCTTATGGTAGAATATTACACTGCAAAGAAAATGAATGAGCAATGGCTATACACCACAACATGGATGAATCTTGCAGACAGAGTTATCATAAGGCAGACACAAGGTATACATACTGATTATATTTTTGAAATATGAAAAATAGGGAAAACTATATTGTGTAGGATTCATAAATAGTTGATAAAACTATAAAGTAAAGCAAGAAAATTATTACCAAAATTAGTGGTTACTACTGGGGTGGAAGGTGATGGGATTATGACGGGAACAAGGTATGCAGGAGCCACTACTACAGTAGCCACTACTCTTGTCCTGAGTAGTGTTTAGATGTCTATTTACTTTATGACAACTAGGTAAACTGTAGTTTTATTTACTTTCTAAGTGTTATATTTCACAATGAAATGGTTTAAAAGCAATAAATTAGCATTTCGGTTTCTTTTTTAAAAAGAAAAAATAGGCTGGGCACAGTGGCTCATGCCTGTAATCCCAGCACTTTGGGAGGCTGATGCGGGCAGGATCACCAGGTTGGGAGATCGACACCATCCTGGCCAACAAGGTGAAACCCTGTCTCTACTAAAATACAAAAAACTAGCTGGGCATGGTGGCACGTGCCTGTAGTCCCAGTTACTTGGCCCAGTTATTTGGGAGGCTGAGGCAGGGGAATCACTTGAACCTGGGAGGCAGAGGTTGTAGTGAGCCAAGATCGTGCCACTGCACTCCAGCCTGGTGACAGAGCAAGACTCCATCTCAAAAAAAGAAAAGAAAAAGTAATATTTATTTATTTAATTTTAATTTTTTTTTTTTTTTTTTTTGAGACTGGGTTTCACTCTGTTACCCAGGCTGGAGTGCAGCAGTGGTGTGATCATAGCTCACTGCAGCTTCAAACCCCTGGGCTCAAGCAATCCTCCTGCCTTGGCCTCCCAAAGCACTACGATTGTAGGCTTGAACCACTGTACCCAGCCAATATTTTTATTTATTTTTCTTATTTTAAAATTATACTTTAAGTTCTGGGATAAATGTGCAGAACATGCAGGTTCGTTATATAGGCATATATGTGCCATGTTGGTTTGCTGCACCCATCAACCCTTTATCGATATTAGGTATTTCTCCCTTTGTCCCCCACCCCCCGACAGGCCCCAGTGTGTGATGTTCCCCTCCTTGTATCCATGTGTTTAACTTCCACTTACAAGTGAGAACACACAGTGTTTGGTTTTCTTTTCTTGTACTAGTTTGCTGAGAATAATGGTTTCCAGCTTCATCCATGTCCCTGCAAAAGACAGGAACTCATCCTTTTTATGGCTGTATAGTATTCCATGGTGTATATGTGCCATATTTTCTTTATCCAGTCTATCATTAATAAGCATTTGAGTTCGTTCCAAATCTTTGCTATTGTGAATAGCGCTGCAATAAACACACATGCACACGTGTCTTTATAGTAAAATGATTTATAATCCTTTGGGTATATATCCAGTAATGGGATTGCTGGGTCGAATGGTGTTTCTGGTTCTGGATCCTTGAGGAATCGCCACACTGTCTTGCACAATGGTTGAACTAATTTACACTCCCACCAACAGTGTAAAAGTGTTCCTATTTCTCCACATCCTTGCCAGCATCTGTTTGATCTGTTTGTTTCCTGACTTTTTTTTTTTTTTTTGAGACACAGTTTCATTCTTTTTGCCCAGGCTGGAGTTTCACTCTTGTTGCCCAGGCTGGAGTGCAATGGTGCAATCTCGGCTAACTGCAACCTCTGCCTCCCAGGTTCAAGTGATTCTCCTGCCTCAGCCTCCCAAGTAGCTGGGATTACACGCATGCACCACCACGCTCAGCTAATTTTTTGTATTTTTAGTAGAGACAGTGTTTCTCCATATTGGTCAGGCTGGTCTCGAACTCCCGACCTCAGGTGATCTGCCTACCTCAGCCTCCCAAAGGGCTGGGATTACAGGTGTGAGCCACTGTGCCCAGCCATATCCTGATTTTTTAATGATTGTCATTCTAACTGGCGTGAGATGGTATCTCGTTGTGGTTTTGATTTGCATTTCTCTAATGACCAGTGATGATGAGCTTTTTTTCATATGTTTGCTGGCTGCATAAATTTCTTCTTTTGAGAAGTGTCTGTTCATATCCTTTGCCCACTTTTTGATGGGGTTGTTTGCTTTTCTCTTGTAAATTTATTTAAGTTCTTGTAGATTCTGGATATTAGCCCTTTGTCAAATAGATAGATTACAAAAAATTATCTGCCATTCTGTAGGTTGCCTGTTCACTCTGATGATAGTTTCTTCTGCTGTGCAGAAGCGCTTTCGTTTAAAAAACATGGAACACTTCATGAGTTTGTGTGTCATCCTTGGGCAGGGGCCATGCCAATCTTCTCTCTGCATTGTTCCAGTTTTAGTATATGTACTGCTGAAGCGAGCATGTATTTTGGTTTCTTAATCAGTCTCATAAGCATGCCTAACATTAGAGACTCAAGTTTGATAATTTGAATGGATTTATTTTTTTGAGACAGAGTCTCACTCTGTCACCCCAGCTATATTGCAATGGCCCGATCACAGCTCATTGCAACCTCTGCCTCCCGGGTTCAAGCGATTCTCGTGCTTCAGCCTCCCGAGTAGCTGGGACTACAGGTGTGTGCCGCCACATCCTGATAACTTTTTGTTTTGTATTTTTAGTAGAAATGGGGTTTCACCATGTTGGCCAGGCTGGTCTTGAACTCCTGAGCTCAAGTGATCTGCTCACCTTGGCCCCCCAAAGTGCTAGGATCACAGGTGTCAGCCGCTGTGCCCAGCTTTGAGTGGATTTTTAAAAGTGAGCACTAAGTTTGTAAAGCTGAGGTTCCAAAATGACCCAAATTCAGGAGAGGTATAATATGGAAAGATGTCTACACAGGAAAGAGAGAAAAAGACTTAAGTTTAAATTCTGACTCTACAATTTGCTAGCTTTGCAATCTTAAACAGTTTCGTCATCCAAAAAGTGCTGACCTATAGGGTTGTGAGGATGTTCATAAGAGATAAAGTGGACAGGCTGGGCCGGGTGGCTTACACCTGTAATCCCAGCATTTTGGGGTATTAACCCAGGAGGATCACCTGAGGTCAGGAGCTCAAGACCAGCCTGGCCAACATAGTGAAATTCTGCCTCTACTAAAAATATAAAAATACAAATATTAGCTGGCTGTGGTGGTGTGCACCTGTAATCCCAGCGACTCAGGAGGCTGAGTCAGGAGAATCTCTTGAACTTGGGAGGCAGAGGTTGTAGTGAGCAGAGATCACACCACTGCACTCCAGCTTGGGCATCATAGTGAGACTCTGTCTCAGAAACAAACAAACAAAAAGAGATAAAGTGGACAAACTCTCAGTAAAGGATACTTATTGTATATAACTTTCTTAGGTGCCTGGCCTAAGGAGCTAACCAAGAGGCTGATGTCTCACTCCTAAATGGCCAATAATTTATCTCACCATGGAGATTTAAAATAGACAAAAAAACCTTCTCTTTAAAAAAAAATTATTGCATGCTCTTTACAAACTGTGAAAAATAAAAATCTTCTCTTGTTACCAAGCTATCATTTATCCAACCTTGAAAGACTGTTCATTAATCCAATAAATATTTATAGGGTACCAATCATATGTAAGGCATTATAACCTGTATAGTTCTGGCCATTGTTCCTTAAGAAATATGTAGTATTGTTAGAATATGTTCAGAGTCAGCAAGTTAAAATGATCTAAGAAATGTCCTTGAAGAGAAAGTGAAAGGCTGTCTTATGAGAACATGTGATAAAGATTTAGAATTTAATTTAAAACTACAAAGACTTGAAGGAATATGATCAGTCTTCAAAAACTCATGAAGGGTGAGGATAGGGAAGAGTTTTATTTGAATAATCCTGAAATACTAGAACTCCCGAGAAGGGCTTCCTTGAAGTTTGGGATAAACGAATATTTGTTTTCCTCTATATCCCTCCTGCTAGACTGTGAGCTCTTGAAAACTAGGGACTTTTCTTATCCATGTTTATGTCACTTTTCAAATAAGAGCATTTTAACCCGCTAGGCCAGGAGTGGGCAAACTTTTCTCATAAAGGGCCAGGTAATAAATATTTTAGACTTTGTGGGTCATATGGTTTAATCACAACTATCAAATCTCCTACTGTAGCACAAAAGCAGCCATAATATGTAAACAGACAGATCTGGCTGCCAATAAAATTTTATTTATAAAACAGAAGGCAGACCGAATTTGACCTACAGGCCAAAGTTTGCTTACCCCTGCAGCATGGGGATAAGGATTATGTCTATTTTGCCTACATTAAACTTTCAGTGTCTACAAAATTGCACATGAATATTTATTGATTATTGAATTTCAGAACCTTCAATAGAGGCTTACAGAAACTAAGACCTTAATATATATTTACAGAACTAAGCCATAATTAAAAGTAAGTACTATTTAACATGGAGGTTAATTTTAAACATTTATGTGGTTCATAAACTTTAGATGAATCTGTGTATGGCAGTTCTACATATATTATTTTAAAACAAACATTTGGGAGATGTTGCCTTAACTATTTCATGCTGTTGTATTAGGAAGAACAACTTTGCTCTTCCATGAATTGTACCTTGATGCAGTTGAGATTTGCCTGAACCAATAATAATGGATACATCTAATAGGGATAAATAAGTCTAATGATACACAGGGCAGGACAGCTCAGGTTTAGGCTCAGGTCACTGAAGTTTGGTAAGTACTAAAAATTTTAGATGATGTTGTCAGAAGATTATGTAATTTAATGCCTTTTTCTATTTACAGGTTGATAACATACACATCCTTACTTAGCAGGGAAAAGTTAAAGGAGGAAGTTATTAGACAGCTCATATTGTCCACATTTATAGATCCTATCATGAATTATCAAGTAGAGGAATTTAGATTCGTTTCTTCCCAGGGCCAAATGAAACCCTTCCATAAAGGATGTGCCCACAAGAGTTACCTTGATGTTTTCTTCCTGAAGTAAGCTATTATGTTGCTTTAAGTCCAAGTTCTTCCCTCGTTCATATCGAAGCTCATTTTCAGCTGAGTTGCATAGAACCTGGAGCCGGTGCAAATTCTGGCGAAGTTGCTGTACTTCCTCTTGCTGGTTGTATTTTAGTTTTTCTCCAGATGATGGATGCTAAAGCAAACATTTTGAAAGAGAAACATGGACAATTAGAAGGAATACTGGTAAGACATGCGTTCAAGCTGTCAAAACCAGATTTGTAGAATGTGATTACTCACATGTAAATGTTTTTGGAGTTAGCTTATCTACAACAAACTACTCTTTTATATTTATGGATAGTTGGTACATGTTCATATAATACCTGTTATATTAGAGTGAAAATAACAAGAAAATTATGTTAACAAAACTACTTACACACAGAAAACTAACTTTATTTTTCACATCAATGATAGACGCACAGACAATTTTAGAGTAAAACACATTTAAAATGGGAAGTTCAAAGAGTCTATATGTTAAGAAGTAGTGAGAGAGAGAGAAAGAGAGAGTGTGTGCTTGTGTGTGGTGTCTGTTGGAAAAAAAAGAAAGAGGAAACTTAGTAAGAGACTTACTAAGTTTCTAGCCTTCCTCATCAGTTTCCTTTTATTACTCTATGATTCTTCTCCCATAAACACACTCCCATAAAACACACCCTTTTAAGGCTGAATAGTATTGCATTTTGTACACACACACACACACACACACACACACACACACACACACACAAAACTTCTGCAGATATCTCTTTGACATACTGGTTTCAAATACCTTGGATATATACCTGGAAGTGAAATTGCTGGATCATATGAGTAGCTCTATTTTTAATTTTTTGAGGAACCTCCATACTGTTTTCCATATTGGCTGTACTAATTTACATTCATACCCACAGTGTTGAAGTGTTCTGTTTTCTCCACATCCTTGCCAATACTTATCTTTTGTCTTTTTGATAAAAGCCATTCTAATAGGTGTGAAGTGATATCTCATTGTGGTTTTAGTTTGTGTTTCCCTAATAATTCACGACGTTGAACATTTTTTCACATACCTGTTGGCGTTTTGCATGTCTTCTTTTGAGAAAGGTCTATTTGCATCCTTTGCATATTTTTTAATTGGACTATTTGTTTTCTTGCTATTGAGTTGTTTGAGTTCCTTATATATTTTGGATATTACCCGCTTATCAGATGTATGATCTACAAATATTTTTGCCCATTCTGTAGGTTGTCTCTTTACTCTGTTGATTGTTTCCTTTGCTGTACAGAAGGTTTTTAACTTGACGCAACCCCATTTATCTATTTTGCTTTTCGAATCACATCCAAAAAATCGTTGTCAAGAAAAGTGTGAAATATTTTCCATAAGTGTCAATCAATGGATGAATGGAAAAGAAAATACGGTATACACACACACACACACACACACACACACACACACACACACAATGCAATACTGTTCAGCCTTTAAAAAGAGAGAAATCCTACAGTGGCTCATGCCTGTAATCCCAACACTTTGGGAGGCCGAGGCGGGTGGTTTGCCTGAGCTCAGGAGTTCGAGACCAGCCTGGGCAATATGGTGAAACCCCATCTTTACTAAAATACAAAAAATTAGCTGGGCATGGCAGTGTGTACCTGTAGTCTCAGCTACTTGGAAGGCTGAGGGACAGAATTGCAAGAACCCAGGAGTGGGAGGTTGCAGTGAGCCAAGACTGCACCACTACACTCCAGCCTGGGCGACAGAGCGAAACTCTGTCTCAAAAAAAAAAAGAGAGAGAGAGAGAAAGGAAAAGAGAGAAATCCTTTTATTTGTCACAACATGAATAAACTTGAAGGGCATTATGCTAAGTGAAATAAGTCAGGCACAGAAAGACAAATACTGCATGATCTCACTTATATGTGGACTCTAAAAAAGTTGAACTTATTAAGTTGAACTCATAGAAGCAGCAAATAGAATGGTGGCTGCCAGAGACTGGGGAGGGGAGGCATGGAATGGGAAGATGTTGGTCAAAGGGTGCAAAGCTTCTGATAGGCAGGATAAATTCTGGAGATGTATTGCATAGCATGGTGACTATACTTAATAATAATGTGTTGTATACTTGAAAATTGCTAAAAGAGTAGATCTTAAATGTTCTCACAAAAAGTATGTGAGATAGATATGTAAATTAGCGTGATTTAATCATCTCACCATGTATATATATATCAAAACATCAGGTTGTACACCACATATATACAATGTTTGTCAATAATCCTGAATAGACTGGGCATGGTAGTCCACGCCTGTAATCCCAGCACTTTGGGAGGCTTAGGTGGGTGGATGACCTGAGGTCAGGAATTTGAGACCAGCATGGCCAACATGGTGAAATCCCATCTCTACTAATAGTACAAAAATTAGCCAGGTGTGGTGGCATGCACCTGTAGTCCTAGCTACTTGGGAGGCTGAGACATGAGAATCGCTTGAACCTGGGAGGTGGAGGTTGCAGTGAGCCAAGATCACACCATTGCATTCCAGCCTGAGTGATAGAGAGAGACACTGTCTCCAAAAAAAAAGAAGAAAAAAAAAAGTCTTGAATAAAGCTATAAAAAATAAAGCACATGTATCAAACATCAGCAATACACTTTCCTATCAGGCTTCTCCAGTGAAATAAGAGAACCGTCATTTGGACATTCTACAAAAGGTAGGCACAAGTAGGTACGCTGAATAGATAAACAATTCAATTTTATACAATTCAATAGATAAGATATTCTTAGCGTTTCCTTAGTCCTGGTCCAGTATGCTTCCTGTCTACAACTTTCTAAAAAGCCATGTCATTGTTTTAGTTTTAGCTTGCTTATATCCCTAAAGTAACACAGAGGCCCTCAAGTCCTGTTGGCTCTTCAATTCCCATTTTGGTTTAGCTAAAAAGACAATCTAAATACAATCTGCTTTTCTTAGAGCTGCAAGACTCTAAGATCCCTAGAAAAAAATCTTCAATGGAGTATAATATAATTATGAAGAAGCCTCACTTTAAAAAAATTTCTTCTAAAAAAACCAGTATACATGTGCAGAATGTGCAGGTTTGTTACATAGGTATATGTGTGCCATGGTGGTTTGCTTTCCCTGTTGACCCATCCTCCAAGTTCCCTCCCCTCACCTCCCACGCTCCACAGGCCCTAGTGTGTGTTATTCCCCTCTCTGTATCCATGTGTTCTCAATGTTCAACTCCCACTTATGAGTGAGATAACATGCAGTGTTTGGTTTTCTGTTGTTGTGTTAGTTTGCTGAGGATGATGTCTTCCAGCTTTATCCATGTCCCTGCAAAGGACATGATCTCATTCCTTCTTATGGCTGCATAGCATTCCATGGTGTATATATACCACATTTTCTTTATCCAGTCTGTAATTGATGGACATTTGGGTTGGTTCCATGTCTTGGCTATTGTAAATAGTGCTGCAATAAACATATTGTAAATAGTGCTGCAATAAACATGTGCATGTGTCTTTACAGTAGAAGGATTTATATTTCTTTGGGTATTATTTCTATGGGATTACTGGGTCAAATTGTATTTCTGGTTCTAGATCCTTGAGGAATCACCATGCTGTCTTCCGCAGTGGTTGAACTAATTTACATTCCCACCAACAGTATAAAAGCATTCCTATTTCTCCACAGCCTCACCAGCATCTATTGTTTCCTAACTTTTTAATAATTGCCATTCTGACTAGTGTGAAATGGTATCTCATTGTGGTTTTGATTTGCATTTCTCAGATGGTCAGTGATGTTGAGCTTTTTTCATATGTTTGTTGGCCAAGTAAATGTCTTCTTTTGAGAAGCGTCTGTTCATATCCTTTGCCCACTTTTTGATGGGGTTTTTTTTTCTTGTAAATATGTTTAAGTTCCTTGTAAATTCTGGATATTAGACCTTTGTCAGGTGGGTAGATTGCAAAAATTTTCTCCCATTCTGCAGGTTGCCTGTTCATGCTGGTGATAGTTTCTTTTGCAGTGCAGAAGCTGTTTAGTTTAATTAGATCTCATTTGTCAATTTTGGCTTTTGTTGCAATTGCTTTCAGCATTTTTGTCATAAAGTCTTTGTCCATGCCTATGTCCTGAATGGTACTGCCTAGCTTTTCTTCTAGGGTTATTATGGTTTTGAGTTTTACATTTAAGGCTTTAATCCATCTTGAGTTAATTTTTGTTTAAGGTATAGGGAAGGGGTCCAGTTTCAGTTTTCTGCATATGGCTAGCCAGTTTTCCAGCACCATTTACTGAATAGGAGATCCTTTCCCCATTGCTTCTTTTTGTCGGGTTTGTCGAAGATCAGATGGTTGTAGATGTGTCGTGTTATTTCTAAGGTCTCCGTTCTGCTCTACCAGTCTATATGTTTGTTTTGACACCAGTACCATGCTGTTTTGGTTACTGTGGCCTTGCAGTATAGTTTGAATTCAGGTAGCATGATGCCTCCAGCTTTGTTCTTTTTGCTTAGGAATGGCTTGGCTATATGGCTTTGGTTCCATATGAAATTTTAAATAGTTTTTTTTTTCTAATTCTGTGAAGAATGTCAATGGTAGTTTGATGGGAATACCACTGAATCTATAAATTACGTTGGGCAATATGGACATTTTCATAATACTGATTATTCCTATCCATGAGGATGGAATGTTTTTCCATTTGTTTGTGTTCTTTCTTATTTCCTCGAGCAGTGGCTTGTAGTTCTCCTTTCACATCCCTTGTTAGCCATATTCCTGGGTATTCTCTTTGTAGTGATTGTGAATGGGAGTTCATTCATGATTTGACTCTCTGCTTGCCTATTGTTGGTGTAAAGGAATGATTGTGATTTTTGCACATTGATTTTGTATCTTGAGACTTTGCTGAAGTCACTTATCAGTTAAGTTTTTGGGCTGAGATGATGGGGTTTTCTAAATATAAAATCATGTCATCTGCAGAGACAACTTGCCTGATTGCCAGAACTTCCAATACTACACTGAATAAGAGTGGCGAGAGAGGGCATCCTTGTCTTGTATGAGTTTTCAAAGGGAATGCTTCCAGCTTTTGCTCATTCAATATGATATTGGCTGTGGGTTTGTCATAAATAGCTGTTATTATTTTGAGATATGTCCCATTAGTACCTAGGTTATTGAGAGTTTTTAACATGAAGGGATGCTGAATTTTATCAAAGG